GGAATGGTTGCGAACTTGTTAGCAATGTGTATCATTTCTATGCTACTAGATTCTAAATATCACATGTGAAACAAATCCAAACTCACATCTCTCATCATTTTCACTGCTTCCCTGGTCCTTCCCAGCTTTCTTGCACACATTGCCAGCCTCCTCTTAATATACACTAGCACATTCGTGTCCCTTCCTGTATAAAAGGAAAAAGAAACAGCATTAAGATAAAAAAGATAATACAAAGGTTTATTTAATACTCCAACACAACAGAAAACACTGTTTTCTTGCAATTTTTTTCTTATTTGCTAACATTGATTCTTTCACAAGAATTTTCATTAAAAATTACCAAATTCTGAGGATTCAGATGTGGCATAACAGCACTGAAATCTATGGAATTAATCCAGATATACAGTGATGCAAATAAGAACACATATGTTGGCCTTACACCTGTGAAATATAAGCAGATTTGAAAGTACAAGAAAAACTAGAGGGTATAGATCATCAAGTAATCAAGTGAGGCAAGAAGAAACCCTCTGAAATTAACATTGGCACAAAACTCTCTGGTCACACCCACAGCTTTAAATTATTTACCAATTCACACACATGGTTAAGACAAGGGCATCCATGAAAAGGCGTGTTATATCCTGCCTTTTTTCTAAGTTATGATGTACAAGCTTAACAAGTAGCAATCCTCATCCTCTAACAGTCTTTTTCTTGATGATTAGAAGCAAAGAAGCATAGCCTCAACTTTCTGTTTACAGCTCTTACTCATTACCCAATTATCATCTTCAAATTCCTCACACCACTAGTTACAGATGGCAAATTAACACGATTCAGATGAGACAGTTCAGTGTGCTGGGAGGTGCCCTAACAGCAGAGATGACAGAATCCAAACAGCAGAGCTAATCATTCTCTTGGAGAATTCTTACTCCTTTCATTTCTCATTCACTTCCCTGTAATTCAAATTTGAACTCCTAAAATGCTTCTGGATCAACAGGAAATGAACAGACAGCTAATTATCTATAAAATTTGCCGTATCATGAAGATATAAGATACCTGCTACAAATTATCCTTGTGTATAGCATGAGGTCTGTAAAGATTTTAGTCTGTTCTAACATTTTCAAGTCTTTCATAACAAGAACAACATGTGTACTGAAAAAATTACAAATACCTACAAATTGTTTTAAAGATGTGACTAAAATTTTCAAATAGATTAAGCAGCAGGTTGAAAGGTCTGACTTTAGAGGAAAAAAATAAAAAAGGGAGGGAAGAATTTCTTTAGCTGTATTTTATATTATCTAATTCCTTATCTTTGTATTGATTCCTATGTATTTAATACACTATTTATTAGTTACATATGTTTCAACATGTTTATGTACTGTAACTATGAGGTATACATTTCAGGGTAAGCTTCTTTTCAGGCTTTTCAGAAGGAATGGTTACTTACTATGAAATCAAGATAATCTTTCAGGCCAAAATTCTCCAAGATGTGCCTAACATGAACAACCTTAAAAAGAAGATTGCCAAGCTTTCTATGAACTAGCAGCTTTTGAAAGAGGCTAAGGTGGGTAGTCAAAGTCATTATTTACTCTTAAAATTCACAGTCTAATGTAAAATAGTACATGAAGGAGAGGGAATACATGCATAAATAGAAACACCGAGCAGTATGTTGTTGTTCAAGAAATTACAGTGTGTTTCACCTGTAAAAGATGAAATGTCCACTTTTCATTCCAAAATCGACTTCAAACACCAGAAATGGAAGGACAAACATCTCAGAACCACGGAACTGCAACACATCTGTCCATGGTCCTTCCTCTCTAAAGAGCCCTGAGCTCCTCACCTTTATAAACCATGCAGAAGTCCAGCACATAATTAACAGAATTTTATGTGAAGCTCCCATGTCCAAGGCACCACCTGAGGCAGGAACTTCTCTAACTTCTGTGAGTGCATACTGACATTTTCAAGGGGAGGCTGAGCGGTATAAAAAAGTGCAACAATCTAGCCCCTCCTGAAGCCCCCCTTGAAGTCATAGTCAGAGCTGGCAGTCACTTTTCAGCCTCACTGCTTTGTGGCAATGCACTTAATTTTGTGATTCAACTGGTTACTTCCTCTGCTGCGATACTGAAGGTTCAAGGGTGCCATCCAGCACACACAGGTTATGGAAATACCATGCTTTTATGCCTGCACGAACTTAACCAGGTTATCTTGGACATAAGCACTGTGTTTACTAATTACTTATTGTGAATTTTTCATAGAATTGCTGTAATTTTCTGCACTCAGGATGGATTAAGTGCACATTTTTTTCCCCACACAGTACCATAAGCCTGCTAGAGACCAAAAATTGTGTCAAGGGCTCAGCAGCTCTATATTTTTACTTTCATCAAAAATAAACAAATCATCATAAATATAATTTTACAGACAGCAAATGTTTAAAACACTACCCTCAGGCTTCATAAAATCTTAGGTTTTCAGGTATAGACCTGTATAGGCTTTTGAAATCAGAGATCACGGACAATTTTATTATGTCCAATTTTTATCAGCAATCTTCAAATTATGTGAGATAGCCTGGGGCTGTGAATTCAGGCCCTGAGAAACCTGAAGATGCCCAAAGTATGACAGTGCTTGTACTTACGTAATTAATTGGTGTTATTTTTGCCTAAGGTAGCCATCATAGTCTAGAAATAACCTAGACTGTTATTTACTGTCATTTACTGTCAGTGAACCCCCATGTATGTTCTTAGATTTCAGTAGTATCTCATAAATACCACAGTAGGTAAATCTGCTTATTCAAAATTTTAAAAAAAGTAATTAAAATCTAGACTTTCAATTAGAGCATTGTATTATTCCAGTTGTTACTTTTATGCTTCTGTGACCTTTCTTAATATATGCAAATAATTTTTCACATGTCACACTGGTTAATGGGTCTAATTAACTTTTACACAGAACAATGTGGTGTATACACTTACCCTCAGAGCTGATGGAAAAAAGCCAGCAAAGCAGCACTTCATTCCCCTTTCCATCATTCTTTACTGCCTTTTCACAATGTGAGCCCATGTTTTCAAAATGGCTAAAGGCACTTCAGTGCAACTTCCTAAAGCAGTGTACATCATTTCCTGAACATCAGATCTCTTTTTTGGCTCTGCTACCTTTCCTTTACTGTTAAGTACATCCTATAATATTTTCTGCCATGACAAAGAAAAGGCACACCTGTAATCTAAGCATTGATAGCCTGGCAACAGAATCAAACAAAAACACTGAAGCAGAATAGTCTGGCTCTAGGGCTACATTCCAGCCAATGGCAAATAGTTCTGAGAGGGAAAAGGAAACAAAACTCAAACCCCCAAAGAACACCCTGGAACTTCTCTCCCTTTAGAAATGGCTATTTCCTCCTAAGAAACTTACTGTGTTGGGCTTCATACTGGGCACCGTGGTGCTGCAACTGCTGACTGCGCCTGTAGCACCCCTCTCCAGCTTTCAGAGCTTGCTTGAACAGCTTCTCTGCTTCTACAATTGTTGTCGCTTCCTCTTCAGCTAGGAGAATATAGGCAGTAGCACACCTGCAAAAATATCAGAGGCAAAGCCATGAGAAACTTGCATGAAGTAAAAGCTATTTGAATACATTCAGGCAAGGATGTACTAAATAGAGAAGCAAAGAAATTTTGTCCCTGAACCTTTCTGGTGATCTATTCTGATGAATAAATATTCTGTCAACCAGACCATGACTCTCATTTGTAGGTACTATATCACTCAGCCCTTGAGTAAATCTATTGACAACTGCCCCAGAAAGTAAAGCACTATCTCACTAAGCCACATGGCCTACATCTCTAAAACTCCTTCTGGAAACCAACACTAGTTTTATGTACCTATTGTTTCAACACAAAATGTCTCCATTACTGTAATGGTACGAAAAGAATCAACAGACCTGTAATACTTGCCATGTGCAAGAATAAATTATAAATGTAATTGTAGAGATTAAAAACCAAACCAAAACAAAAAACTACAATACCTGCCTTGTCTCCCAAAACAACAAAAACAAAACAAAAAAAACCCTAACTCAAGTGAAGCGAAAACCAAACCAGTAATGTGCCCTTGAGGCAGAGCTGCATTAGGAGAGGGTTTTTCAGCAGGTTGAGGGAGGTGATCCTTCCCCTCTACTCAGCTCTGGTGAGGCTGCACATGGTGTGCTGTGTCCAGTTCTGGGCTCCCCAGTACAAGAGAGACATGGACACACTAAACAGTCCAATGAAGTGCCATGAAAATGTCTAGGGACTGGAGCATCCCACACATGAGAAAAGGCAGAGAGAGCTGGGGCTGTTCGGTCTGGAGAAAACTTGGGGGAATTCATCAATGTTTGTAAACACCTGAATAGAGGGGGTGAAGAGGACGGAGCCAGGCTCTTTTTAGTAGTACCCAGTGTTGGGGTCCTTGCAAGGGACGGACTACAGCACACCATTATGATGCTCTGATAGCCAACTTTAGTTAGGGCACCTAACAGTATTTAGAGTAAAAATTCTCCCGTACATGCAGCTACGCACTGATCACACAGCTTTGGATTGGTTGCTCAACCTGTCAATGCTGCAGTTCTTACCTATGATAGGTTACAAGTTTAAGCTGCATCCCGCTCTCACATCCTGGGAAACTGAGAACAAGAACTACACAGTGTCCATGGGGATCTAAACAACAGCACTATTCTCAGCTTGTTAGCAAGATGACTTATCTATAAGGCAGTAAAACCAAAACCTAAAAACCCTGGCAGCAGGAGAGAACAAGACCATTATAAGGTGTTGGATTAAAGACACAGGAATGCATGAAGACAGAAACAAGGTCAGCAAGACCTATTTTGTGTGTCTTGTTTTTAATTGCTTAAGCATTCCTTTAACTGTTGTTCAGGTTACAGCTCCTCTGCTAGCCAGGCCCCAACACCCAGTAACAGGACCAGAGGAAATGGACACAAAATGAGACACAGGAGGTTCCCTCTGAACATCAGAAACTTTTTTTTTACTATAAAGGTGACCAAGCACTGGCACAGGTTGTCCAGATAGGTTGTGAAGTCTCCCTCCTTGGAGATATTAAAAAACCTGGTGGACATGGTCCTGTGCAACACATCTGTGCAATACATGTGCAATACTTATTTGAGGGGGAGTTGGACAACGACCTCCAGAGATCCCTGCCAACCTCATGCATTCTGCAATTCTCTGATATGTGAGTATAACAACGTAGGCTTATAGCTCACTTCTGCCTTTTATGCTACTTGCCCTCTCAGTTAAACTGCTATACAGGAACAGACAATTCTTTCCCTTCTTCTGATGAAACACATGAAGGACAATTTGTAAAGCACTAAGTTTATGGAATTCTAGAATGCAGCAATCTCTGTCAGGAACCGAAAGGCCTCTCTCCACTTTATGCACTTTAGCAACATCTGTAAGTCTTTGCCATATCAGTAAAGCATCACAGCATTGAGCTCATTGTGGAGTCTCAAAATATCACACTTCTCATGGAGAAAATAATTAATGGACTCAAAAGTCCTAGAAAATTACATCATATTCTCTTGTACTATAAAACAAGTATTTCAGAATGTGTTTATGAGTCCCTTCTTTCTTCCTTCTGTTTATGATGACTGAGAAATCCAAAAGGGAATTCTCCATTCCATAGATGCGTATTTCATATGCTCATCAGGAGGCAGCTTAATTAACACTTTTCTGTGCTGTTCCAAAGCCCACTGACATCAATGGGAAGACTCCCATTGTCATGACTGCCCTGAGGATCTTCTGGGTAGCTAGCACAACATGCAGCCGTGCTTTTTCCCTTCTATTGCAGGCCTTCCTGTGACAGGCCTGTAATCATGGTTAAAAACTGCTGTGGCAAACCCCCTGCCTGAAACTATCATCAAATGGATTTTTAAATGACAGGAAGTAAACATTATTTTGTTGTCACTCACTCATTCAATTCCAAAGCTTCATGTGCTGCAGAAATTCGGGCTTGAGGGTTTCTCTCTCTCCAGGCTTTTTGCATTACTATTCAATAAACAGAGGAGAACAAGGGCAAATCACTCATTACAGCATTAACAAGGAGAATCCACTGCACTATAACAACAGAATTTATTGATCTCAGCATGACTCACTCCAGAGCATTTCACAGAGCTCAGTGATCATTCAAAAAGATACATAATGAACATGAGCTTTTGTCCCAAATACTCAGACTTTTTGTCATTCATTTCATTAAACTTTTTTTCCAGGAGAAAATCTGGCTGAGACACCCATGTTATCTGCACTGCCACATACAGAGGTGACAAACACCTATTTCCTCTTGGTGCAGTAGATTCCATGTGCAACAAAACAATACAGGGATATCTGGGATTCTTATTCTAGTTCCTTACTGTGCTGTTGCTTTAGGTGAGTGCTAAATGGAAACAACATCCAGGCTAATAATACCACCTCATAGTTAGACCACTGAGTTCAGAAAATCGGATTCATGCTTATCATGTGCCAAAAAAGCACAATATGTTGTCCTTTGTAATTATGCCTTCAGAATGGAGCACCAACTGTCAGTATATCTCCTTTCCTAAGAGACAGAAATTTATCTCTTCAGAGGCAAAGTCTGATGACCAAAATCATTGTTGTACATTTTTAGTAGAATCAAAGTCTGCATGTGGACTTAATAGTAAAGTCTTAACACAACTAAAGCTGCTTATACAAATTCAGTCATAAATGTCCTGTTCCCATCTTTTACAGAGCTTCTAATTACATCAGGGAATGAAACACAGGACTCACGTTTTACATCAGTTTTCTCTCTTCTATCAGCATAAACTAAATGGGACCTGGATAATATAACTCAACATACTACACTGGAGGCAAATTAAGCTATACATGTTTGAAGACACTTCAAGAAATAGGAAATAAAAAGCCTTTACACTTGCAAATGGTACCCTGAATGGTTTCATAAAGAGAGTAGAACAAAACAGTGACATAAATTAGACAGTTTATACATACAGATATTTGTTGAATTCTATAAATTCAGCCACAATCCAGGCTCGATCAAACTTTTGCCTTTCCTTTTCTACTAGAAAGAGCTGATGTCTGACTGCATTTGTCTTGCATCAGTTTAAAACAGTCATTAACCTACTAGAAAAAACAGTTGTTTGCAAGGTGTCTTACTAGCATCTGCAGGCCGTAAATGATCCGTGTCACATGTAAAGAATGTCTGATGGTCCTGTGCTGAAAGATTCATATCATAGTAAGTCAAAGGTTCTCTCCCTGTTACCCATGTATACCTGCAAACAGGCCAATAAAGAGACATTTTGGTTAATGAGGTCACATTTGTCAAAATGATCTAGAAAAGAATCCTAGACATTAGGGACAGTCATAGCCAACTAAGTTCACCCAGCCAAGCTCCTAACCAATATACATTGCATTTCACTGTACTGTGATGGAGCAACAGTAGTAGAACCTAAGCTAACATGGATGTTGGCAAGTACACACTGGAAATTGGTAACATATATTCGAACATTAGGACTACATGAAATGTACCTCTAATTCATTAGGTCGTTTGCTATAACTGATTTGAACAGAATTGCCGTATTAACAGTACCAGGTACACCACACGTAGGTTTTTCCATGGTTTTTTATAAGGTCACCA